GCAAATATATCCAGTCAGATTGAGGCTCCACTGAAAAGAAAAGTACTCTTAAGTCTTAATTAGTACAAAATTAAATTTTCATACTAGTATTTGAAACGTACGGCATAAGTAATTTTTAGACATAAATGTCTTAAATAATTTAGTAATAAATTTTTTTTTATTGAAAATGAAAAATTGTGAATTTGAGTTACATGATATATAAGTTGACTGAAATAAAGAATGAGAGAAGTGCAACTAATATATATATATATATAAAAAGGTAATTTTTAGACTGAAAAATATAAATATTTGAATCAAACTTTCGGTAAAATAGTTTCTCTTTAAATCTTAAATATTTAGGTATAATTGGTGAAAAATTCAACTCTTATTAACAATTTGAAAACTAAATCCTACATCTGCCAAATTCCTCCATGTTCTAAAAAAAAAAAAGAGAAAAATATAAATATTCTCTTTGTTTATTTTTTTGGTCTTAATTTAATTTTTAAATATAAATTTTAAATGATAATTTAATATATTATATAGATAATAATAAAATTTTTTATTAAATTAAAATATTTTTGAAAAGTTATATATAAGAAAAATTAATTATTATTTATATAAATTATTAAATTTTTATTTAAAATTTATGTAAAAAAATTAAAAAATTCAAATAAAATTACTTAAAATAAATAGAGGTAGTAAGAAAAAATAATAGCTTTATTATGTAGTAGTATTTTTTAAGCCTTTTACTCCATCCATCCATTCATTTTTATTATACTTAATTTTTTATTTATAAAGTTTAAATTTAATTATTTAGTTTTTTAAATATCATTTTATGTATTTATTTTTATTTTAAAAAATAATCATAATATATATTAAATACAAAAGTTATTTAAATAATATTTAATTAGAGTTAAATATAAATTTTTATTAATAAATTATTATATTTTTATTTTATTAAAAAATTAAATTTACTAAAAATAAACAAAATAAGTATTAATCAATTAAATTAATCAATAAAAATTTAACTAAATTAATATTTATCAATTTACAAATCTTTATTAAAAATTAAAATAAGAGATTTAAATATTTTGCATCCCTAAATAATTAATCTTCTAATAAAAAAAAGAAAAAAGAAAAATCAGTTGAATTCTATCTCAACTATTTTTCTAAAAGCAGACAAATTTTACTTCCCACTCCGTATGTTGCAGAAAAGTTTTGTCAGAACTTAAAAAAAAGAATTCTCACCTGTGGATAAATACTACTAATAATAGTACATAAATAGATTCTATTTTTGACATCAAAAACATCATAACCACTACCATCCATCCTATTATTTCTATGTTCATGCCAATTTCCACTTCGGTCTCTTCACGACACAAAAGATTTTTTTGTTTACGAAAATATTATTTTTCTTTTAGTATTAATCTCTTAATATTTTATAATTATTTTGAGTTTCAATTAATTTAAAATCGAAATGCATCGAATCTCATTAAAAAAAAATTCTTTAAATACCTATTTCTTTATTCATAAAATTCAAACTTGAAACTTTATTTAAAAGTAATCAATTTTTTTCCATTCGAATTAACAAATCATTAGTACTATGAAAATATTATACAAATGAAAGAAAGAGTTTGTGTTTTTCTTGGTAATTATTAATTAGGAGAACAAATTCTAAGGAGACCCAAATGAATGGTTTATTTTCTTCTCTTTTTAGTTTTTTAGTCCAAAAGTTTGTTAAAAAGACTGGGAAATGATTGTGTCCATGAATGGTGCATAAAACAGAACATGGGACTACCTGGCCACTACCAAAGGATAATGGAAGAGATTCGCAAATCCACCACTAATTTCATGAGATTCCCTGCCACCATTGTGTCATCCCTAATCATTACAAACGTATATCTAATGTTTTATTTTACGAAATTATCAACATATATTATTT